TCATGAATCCATTATAGAAACATTTACGAGCCCTGCTTTGGTGCCTACTTTGAGAAGTATAGAATAGGTGACTCCTTATATAGAATTGCATGTACAGTACTAAATCTCAGAGGCATCATGCATAGCAACTATTGTTATTGTACAAGTTATAGAACATGCTAGCATTTAAAGTAATTGCAAAGGAAAAAAAACAAAACAAACTTCTCGATACTTATCTGCTCTGTGCAATGGATTTGCACAGAGCAGCCCCAAACCACCTCTTCTTGGGTGCTCCACGGTACTTTCAGCACCTCCTCTCTGTCCTCTGCCTCCATGGGAAGCCACTTTCCATGGGGCCACTTGTGTGTGTTCACTCCTGAGCCCAGTTGCTGCGTCTATTGACACAGAAAATGGAACTCGGCCCCGCCCACTGCTCCCTTGTCATTAGCTTTAATTGACAGCAGCAGTAGCCACTGGCTCCCAGTGCCCCAGCAAAGTCAGTGAGACACGGAAGTGAGGGGAGAGAAGAGTTGCAGATGTGCACAGCACTGGATCGAATGAAGGCTTAGATAAGTGAAAGGGGGGGTGAGGGGCCAATACCAATATCTAAACATTTTTTACCGGAATGCATAAAGTAAAAGATGTTTAGGCTTTAGGACCACTTTAATTAGCTGTGTTTAAATTTTTTTGTTTCTCTGTGTTGTACCTGTTTTTTTTCCTCTTCGTCGTCTTCTCCTTGCTCAAATACAGCAAACTTTTTAGGCATAATACTATCCCTAATAACAATGAGATTTAAAAGAGAGCCCTAGTAACTTTTCTTGAGTGGAAGAATATCTGACAGCTACAGTAATATGTAACTTACCACCACTTGTCTAAATCAGAATTAAAGCTGATCTTCAGGCAAACCACGAAATACCAAAGAAATGCATAGAATCTGTTTTACCTGCAAAATGATTGTATTTCTGTCCATCCACTTCTGAGATTACACAGATATGCTCAAAGCACAGCTCTGCCTAGCTGGGGAGGGGATCTGATCTTTCTCTGCCGCAGTTTTACTTTTGCTGTAGAGAGTACTTTGCACTCTTTGTGGTTTACACATTTAGACTGCAGTATTATAGTTATATTATATGCAGATCTAGTTAATCGTTGGTCCAGGACAAATATTTTAAGTGAGTGGTGAAAACTGACCATTATTAATTTTCCATCTACTAAAGAGCAATATATAGTTTTTGATGATGTGAATCGCAGTTACAGTGGCTGTGCAATATAGAGGCAGATATAATATGGCAAAGTACAATAATTCAGAAATGTAAAAAAAATACAGCCTGCAAAATACAGTCATTAAGTTTTTCTGTCTGCTCTAAACTGATGGTTGAAAGTAAACCCTTTGCAGTGCCTTCATACTCTTGTATTTCTTTGACTGTGCAAGAATCTTTATCATTGACGTGTATTTTTATTTACAAGCTGTGTGGCATCTGCCACTGTAGTTGTGTCATCAGAAGAGGGCACATGTCTCCTTGCTTCATGAGAGGATTAAAGAGATTTAATTCCCAAAGCAAAAGAGAAGCTTAGGAAAAGTGGTAGTGCTGAGCTGATCTGAGCAGATAGGTAATGCCTGCTTGTATACCTAAATAAGATGAACAATACTACACATCATTGTTTTTTTATTCATATCTTTGAGTGTCCTCACTTTTAAAATCTTGGATTCTTTTATGATTGCAAAATCTAATTGTTGCAATAATTTAGTAGCATGTCTGACTTGAAACCTATTCTGACACTTCTCATATATTATTATTATACAGGATTTATATAGCACCAACAGTTTGCTCAGCGCGTTACAATATAATGGGAGACAATACAGCAACCATACAGTTCAATACAAGAGGGATAGGAGGGCCCTGCTCCTAGGAGCTTACAATCTAGGAGGGAGGGGCTAGTGGTACAAAAGGTAGTAACTGTGGGGGATGGACTGGTAGGAAGAGTAGAAGATTCCATTATTAGCTGATGGCAGGATAGGCTTCCCTGAAGAGAGAGGTTTTCAGAGATCACCTAAAAGTGAGCAGAGTAGGCGATAGTCTGATAAACTGGGGTAGAGAATTCCAGAGGATGGGGGAAGCTCTGGAGAAGTCTTGGAGATGAGCATAGGAGGAGGAGACAAGGGAGCTAGAGAGCAGGAGGTTGTGTGCGAGGAGCGCAGAGTACGGTTTGATGTAATACATATACATGTACATTATACATGTAAACATCATTTAACTCGATAATTACTTAGAACCCCCAAACATGATATATTTTCTGAAAGCAAATGCCCTGGAGAAAAAAATGTTGGTTATTGCAACATTTTATGGCTCACGATATTTGTGCAGAGGTTTTTCAAATGCATTTTTTTTTAAATACACTTTAATGAATGGTAGTGCACATAAGCACAATATACCGTATATACTCGAGTATAAGCCGAGTTTTTCAGCACATTTTTTGTGCTGAAAAACGGCCCCCTCGGCTTATACTCGAGTCAACGTCTGCAGATGTCTAGCAGGGGGCGCTGCTTCTAAAGCCAGTGCTTCTCAAATAGTGGGTGCGCCCCCCAGGGGGGGCGCGAGGCTCCGTCAAGGGGGGCGCGTACAGGGGTGGGCAGAGGGCTGCTGTCTCTTACCTGGCTCCCACGATGATCCATCCAGGAAGCGCTGCTCCTTCCGTCACTCCGGCCACTCCCTCACTCCTGCCGCTCGGCTCCGCCTCCTCACCGGTGATTGGCCGCCAGAACTGTAGCTCAGGAAAGGTACACAGGCGGCCAATCACGGGCGAGGAGGCGGAGCCGAGCGGACTTGCGAAAATCGAGTGAGGGAAAAGCCGGTAAGTGTGCAGTGCAGAGGTGCTGCTGCAACCACATATGCTGGCTGCAGCAGCACCATACTGCAACAGGGGTCAGCAAGTGTCATTGGTGTCAGTGGGAGGAATAGTGCCGCATCATTGGTGTCACTGATACTAATGATGGGGCATTATTCCTCCCACTGACACCAACGATGGGGCACTATTCCTCCCACTGACACCAATGATGGGGCACTATTCCTCCCACTGACACCAATGATGGGGCACTATTCCTCCCACTGATACTAATGATGGGGCATTATTCCTCCCACTGACACCAACGATGGGGCACTATTCCTCCCAGTGATACCAATGATGGGGCACTATTCCTCCCACTGACACCAATGATGGGGCACTATTCCTCCCACTGACACCAATGATGGGGCACTATTCCTCCCACTGATACTAATGATGGAGCACTGTTCCTCCCACTGACACCAATGATGGGGCACTATTCCTCCCACTGATACTAATGATGGGGCACTATTCCTCCCACTGACACCAATGATTGGGCACTATTCCTCCCACTGATACCAATGATGGAGCACTATTCCTCCCACTGATACTAATGATGGGGCTTATACTCGAGTCAATAGTTTTTCCCAGTTTGTTTGTGGTAAAATTAGGTACCTCGGCTTATATCCGGGTCGGCTTATACTCGAGTATATACGGTAATACCCTATTTAAAATCTGATAGATGATGTTACGCTGAGTAACCCGATACCTAACGTGTTGTGCTTATAAAAGTTGCGCATGCCTGAGGAATGCTGACAAACTACGGTACTTAAAAATATCCATAGGCGACGCTTTAAAAGCCTTTACAGGTTACCAGTTTAGAGTTATACAGGAGGTCTGGTGCTAGAATTATTGCTCTTGCTCTGATGTTTGCAGTGATACCTCTGCTTTGTATCAGAATCCTAATTTCAATGTCAGGAAAAATAGAAAATTGTACTTATCCACCGTAACAGTTTATTTATTTCTAAACTAACACTGATCAAAAAAAGTGACATTTTTTTTTTTTTAGTTTTGTAGCTTTTCTGGCTATAGATTTTTGTAAATGCAATATCACAAAAGCAAAGCCTTGTTTGTCCACAGGAAAACAATATATGTATTCATTTTATCCTGAGTAATTATATAATGTATCGCCAAATGAACAGGTACATAGCAAAAATGTTAAAATCACTATGGTTAATGGGGGGGTGTAGAGGTGCGAGACATTAAAGCGAAACTTCCATTTTTGGTTGGAGTTCTGCTTTAGGCTTCCTCCCCCACTCCTCTTTGACATTTGGCATTTTTTGGGGGTGTAGAGAGCAGCTACTTGATTTTGTGACAGGTGCCCGCTCCCTCTTCAGCTCGGATCACCTAGGTGATCTGAGCAGAAGTTCTCCTCCCCCCTTCCCTCCTCACACCATGGCTAGTACACATGCAGTGGGCACTCGACTGTGAAGCAGCAAACTGTCACAGTCAAGTGCCCACAGTTAAGATGCCGGCCCTGAGGACCGAACACTGTCCCTGTCGCCCCCTCAGGTGAGCACATTGCTGGATCCTGGTACAGGTAAGTTTTTGATTATTATAAAGTCATCAGCTGCAGTTTTGGCAGAAAATCGACTGGAGTTACTCTTTAAGTGGTTAAAATATAACTAAAGTCCAAATTTTATTCTTTGTTTAGATTTGGTTAGAGTGGTGAGGGATTAGAACCACTGTCAGGTTTTTATTGCTGTGTGTGTCCCTGATAGGAAGATTCACTCTCTTTAGTTGTCCTGATCACCAGTGTCACCAAGAATAAAAGTGAGGGCAAATACAAAATTTTGAGTTGCCACCAGATGAAAAATAGAGGGGAAATCTTTTAATAGGAACACTTGATCCTGTAAAAACAAAAAAAGTTATTTTTTTTTAGATATACTTTAGTGGAACATCTTTGTTATTTGTCCCCCAAATTCTCTATATGTTAAAAAGCTGATATTTTGCATTGTGTACCTGTGGAAACCGGGGTTTTCTCTGATTATTTTAAACAGCGGTCAATGATCTATCATTGTTCTAATAATTGTGGTCCTTTATCTGTAAACTAGCAAAATATTATGTAGATGAGATGCTTCAAAAACGTATTGGAAATATTGGTGTGAGTTATTGTAATTTTTGCTTTTTGTGCCTTGCAGCAGTGGATTCAGCTAGCGATGATGGTAAGAACATTCATTACTATGTCATTTATTAACCTGTCAGTGATAAAAGTATAACTTTGTTTTATCTCCCTTTGTATATTTCAGAGAGATTTTTAAACTAACCTTGTCAGATTGTTTATTGAGGGCAGTGATAGTGTCTCTTTTTAAAGCCCAGAGCCAAATATACTCACTTTTTCAGCAATCTCCACTGCTCCTTCTGCCACAGTCACTGCAAAGTAGCAGGTGATACCAGATATGTGGTCATATGTGGGGATGGTGATGTCACCAGGTATTTTGCAACTGCTGCAACAGAGGAAAGACTGGTAAGGCAATGCTATGAAGGGGAGTATAACAAGGTCTGTTGTGGGCTTTAAAGAGACCCTGTCACTTTGCCATTAATAGGCAAAGTGACTGTGTCCCTTTTACCGAGCTGGTTGTATCCAGTCAGCTGTTGCATGTTTAATATAACCTTATGTATTATTATAGAATGTTTTGTGGTGAACTGGTAGTAGACACTATTTTTTATAGTTTGAATATGAATACCAGCAAAAATGTATACAGGAAGCTGTTAATGCCATTCAATATTCATTGTCCCTATGTTGAAATCTGAAACCCATCTTAAATGTAAATTTGCTGTGATTCATTGTAGCCAAAAGAAGCAGGTCTTTCCTCTGGAAAAGATTACAGCCTCTTGTATGTTAGTCTATGCTGTCTCCTTCCCTGAGATATACATATCTTTGCATAATCAGGGCTTGCAGAGCAAGTCTACAACAAAATTGAAGTGAGCACAGGCATGGTGTTAATATTTGTAATTCCTTTAAAACCAGGTAATTGACAACCAGAGGTTTTTTTTTCACAGTGGGTTTCCCTGTTGTTCGAAAACAGTAGTTTTTGTTTCATGTATGTATATGATCAGTGGGGGGGGGGTTATAATCTGTTGTCTTATTTTGTGACACAGTTTTTATTTATTTTAGAGGGAAGAGACACAGAGGTACATAATACTGAAAATGAAGCTTCTTCTGATGTGCGAACAAACCTATCTGCTCAAAGGTAATGACATTCTACATAAAAATGAGATTTATTTTCCGATACAATGACCCCTTCTTCGGGCATGTGGGAAAAAAAGGTCACTTGTCTGAAGAAGGGGTCCTGCACTGCGCTAGAACTTCGCTACTTTACGCTGTGATGTGATAATTTTAATAACCTATTTGGACACTATTTTGGAGATTTCTCTTTACCTTGCAGGAATGTGTGCGTTGGGAATATTTTTCTGGACTGAATTTATTATAATTATACAGCCTGTGTGAAGTCTTATGTGCTAAAACTGAAACAAAGGATAGTAGGGATGTTGGTATTAAGCCAGTGTTTCTCCTTCTTCTTTTTTCAGTGCACCTTTTAAAAGTCCTAAGGCACTCCAGTCTAAACTGTACAAGACCTAAATGCTGGTTATCAATGGGAAACTTGAGCCTGGGACAATGCACACAACTGCCTTCATGAAATTAACTTCAGGTCAATAGCCCCCCATAAACATCAGAGACCCACCATCACTAAGTGTTCTGATCACTTCAGAGCCCCCAATCACATAGTCCCCTCTTCAAATCAGAGCCCTACTCTTGGCTGCAGCAGTGCGACAAAGTTGGAAGATGAAAGCGGTCTGGAGAAGCCAGGCATCCATCCTGTCATGACTTCTGGGGCAGGTGTGCATGCCACCTGCCCTGGATCAACGTCATGGGTTTCCAACATCATGAGGGCTGGCCATCTGCCAAGACTGTAGCAAGGAATGATGCCATGCATACTGCCCTAGATCATTAATGATTGTATTGTGCTGGTGACCAGCCTGCCTGCACCATGGCAATTCATGACACTGATTCAGGGCAAACTGGGTGCTGGAAAGCTATCATGTTTAACGTATACCAGGAAATAAAAGCAAGTACCACATGTGGTTTGCCAGTTCAAACCGAAAAACATTAAATCCTGCGTGACTTGTATTCTGTGACTGGCATGGGCTTTTATGAGATGTGGTACATGAAAGAGTGTGATTTTATCAGTTTGTTAGCCAGGTACTGGTTCTCCATTTACTGCACTCAGATTGTTTTCTGACATTCATAGCAGGATTGTTCTGTTCATTAATATTATAAGTATTTGTATATGGAGGCATCTTTATCTGCCTGTTACGTTTACAGCTTCTGCTGCATGCTTAGTAGTGCTTCATAATGTTTGTAATCTCTGGTAGTTTGCTCAAAGTGTTTAATATCATTTGAAGTTTTTTTGTTTTTTACTGAGCGCTGTTCTGCTTGTCACATTAAAACACAGCGATTTTTTTCATTTGCTCTATGCCGCTGTTGTTTGAGGAGCAGCGTGAGCCAATTTTAAAGTATTTTTTTTTTTTTAAAGGCAATAACAAAATAAAATAATAAAAAATAACAAACATGTTATAACTTCCCTGCTCTGTGCAGTGTTTTTGCCCAGAGCAGCCCCAATCCTTTTCTTATCTGGTCCCCCTGCTGACGCTCCTGGTCAATTTTTCCTGCCTAGTGCTCCCAGAGCAAGCAGCTTGCTATGGGGGCACCCAAGCAGGCTCGCTTCTGAGCCGCTGTTCTGCTTGTCCATTCACTCACACACAGCCGAAGTTCGGCTCTACCTCCTCTTTCTCTCCTCCTTTGCTCACTGGCTGTGATTGAGAGCAGCGAGAGCCAATGGCTCAGGTAAATGGGGCTCATGTAAGTATTAGGGTGGGAGGGGGGCTGTTGCACACAGAACGTTTTTGTTTTTTTTTAACCTTCATACATAGAATGCATGAATGTAAAAAACCTTGAGCCCTTACAACCACCTTTCGACTTTTATTCTTATTCTGCAACTGATTTATGGTTGCTGACTGTACTGCTTGATTTGCAAATAGTAGAGTTAGAATTTACAAGTCTGTGTATGAAATACTGTAATTGAAATATGGAAGAACAAGAATTTTAAAATCACATTAACTACTATATTTGTTGTGCTTCCTGAAAATACAATAGTTTCCTTGTAATGCTAAAGTGCAGAAGCAATGTGTCTCAGTAAGCTTATTTAGTGTCCTACTATGTATTGCAGAAGAATCCCTCGACCTGGAAGTGCACGACCAGCTCCACCAAGAGTAAAGCGGCAACCCAGCGCAGAAGTCATTGTTCCTGAAAGGTAGATAAAATGTTTCCGGGAAAACGTTGTCTGATTAGCACAATCGCCGTCAGCATGGTCAACTGACCGAAAAGGGACAAACTGAAATTACATAGGATTGTGACTTGGAATAGGAAAATGACTGCTGCAAAAGTGACTGCAGAGCTCAATCTTAGTCGCATGAACGCTGAGATTGAGCTCTGCAGTCACTTTTGCAGCAGTTTTTTCTTTTTCCAGGTCACAATCCTGTGCATTGTCCTTTTTGTTTTTTTCCTGTTAGTTGACCATGTTGGCCACGCTTATGTTTATCAGACAGTGATTTCCTGGAAAATGCATATGTCGTCATAACCTTTGATACCGTGCAGCACAGTGGCTAAATGGTTAGCACTTCTGCCTGGCAGTACTAGGGTCGTTGGTTCAAATCCCAGCCACGGCACCACCTGCCTGGAGTTTGCATGTTCTCTCTGTGCCTGCGTGGATTTCCTCTGGGTACTCCGGTTTCCTCCCACACTCCAAAGACATGCTGGTAGATTAATTGGATCCTGTCTAAATTGGCCCTAGTATGTATGAATGTGAGTTAGGGACCTTAGATTGTACGCCCCTTGAGGGTTAGGGACTGATGTGAATGTACAATATATATGTAAAGCGCTGCGTAAATTGACGGCGGTATATAAGTACCTATAATATTAATAATAATACCGTACCTCACGACACTGCAAATAAATTGGCAACTTCAGTCACAGAGGCAACATCTAAGGAGATACCAACAATTTTCCCTCTTTGAAGCTCAGTAAGCTCTGATATGACTCCGTATTATTAGCCCCTCATACAGTGAATGATGAAAGCGAGGCTTCCCACCTGTTAGCTAGGTGTTGCATAGTGGAAGCAAAAGAATGTTACATCACTTATGCTTTAAATGTGAAATATGTTGTCACTTTCACACCTTCAAATTATGTAGTGTTTCCATTTTTTTGTCTAACCCCTGTGTTTTATACTATACCATCACCTGTTGATCATGAGTAAAAGTGTAAGCTGATACATTGCTACAGGCCTATGTAATATTGTAGTGGTTTTCCCTGGGTAATGGTATGTTTAATATTAATCATGTGTGTGTTGTAATATTGTGTTGGGACTTTAGAGCATGGGGAATTTTACATTTTGGTAACAACCTTTTGGGTTATTAAGACAACAGATGCCAACCCAGAATCAATAACCATAGTTTCTGTAGTTTGTTAAACTTCTTCTGAGGACAGCCCATATGTTGATAAACTAGTTTTTATGTTGAAATTGAGAGGTTGAGCAGATTCCTCCATTTCTCTACTGTTGGTGAATTCAGACATTTTTTGGCCACTTTTTTATGCCCCAAGAACAACAGTCTGGTAGTCATGGAAGATGCCTCTTGAGCAAAGGTCTCTTTGACCACGATGTCCAGTAGACAAATATCTGACTTCAGTGATAGGTACCTGAAAGACATCCTTGATAATTTGCACAATATCCTTCCAGTATGATGAAGCTTAGGGCATATCCAGGGCAAATGGGATAAGATCAGCAGGACCTCTATTGCACATAGGACAGTCAGGGGGTCTCTCTGTTGATCCACTAAACCAGTTTTCTGAGGGGTGTGGTAAGTTCCTTGTAAAAAAAACAAACAATTGAGAGAGTTTTTTTGGGAAGGGGTAGGGGGGAGACCAAGGGACTGATAGACATCCTCTTCCCACCATTTCCTAGCTGGCAGCTTTGTTTTTTTTTATGTAGATCTTGACACAGTAATGCAGACAGTTGTGTTATAAGCCCCTTCTTTGTAGTAGCCTTAGCCAGCAAACACAACAGGGTATATTGTGCATTTCCAAGTACCCAATTACATATTTCAGTTATATTTTATTGAAGGTCCTCTGGCAAAAAGTTGGCTGTGAATTCATAACATGGTTGGTTTAAATGAAAAATAAAAAAAAATAATTTTACATTTATTAAGGTGCATCTGTAATGCTGTGAAGATGTGGGAGGAGCCTAATTAAGGTGTGGGTATGGGTGAAAAATAAGTACATTCTCCAATACATGCACTTCTGTTTTGTATCTCAGTTATAGAAAAATACCTGTTGATGTGGCAAAAAATCCAGTAACTTCCTATGCTCTCTTCCCATGTTGCACTTTATCAGCCTGATCAGTTCATTGTTTTCTGTGGACTACAGAACACTTCACCCTAATGTTATGAAGATGGTGCAAGGGGAAGGTGTTTTGTAGCCCTAACACATTTCTTGTACTGGATTGACAGCCCTGCTTCTCCAGAGATACAGTAAGGATTGTCACCCTAGGCCAGAAATGGGTTATCAATCTGATCCCCAAATGAAATTGAAGGAAACAAAGTCTAAAAAAGAAAAAAAAATCCAGCCACCACATTTAAAGCCTGATAAGCTGCAGTATACTACGGTTTTGCTCTTGGGTATAGATACACACTAACTGTTTTAGCCTTATGGGCCTGCTTGTTATTTGCATATACAGTTAAGTCCATATATATTTGGACATCATCATGGTATAACCACTCAAAGTCCAGTGACGTACCAGTACATTGCTGGTCCTTGTTGGGCATATGCATATATATTTGGACACAGGCACAATTTTAGTTTTTTTTAAGGTATTTACCAAAACATATTCAAGCTATTTTTATAAAATAGATATGAGCTGAAAGTGCACACTCTCAGGTTTAGTTTGAGGGTATGTACATCCAAATTGGAGGAAGGGTTTAGGAATTACATCTCTTAAGATTAGCCATCCCCCCTTTTTCAAGGGACCAAAAGTAATTGGACAGTTGAATCAAAAGCGGTTTCATGGCCAGGTGTGGGCTACTCCTTCATTAATATTTTGTCAGTTAAGTAGGTTAAAGGTCTGGAGTTGATTCTAAGTGTGGTATTTGCATTTGGAATCTATTGCTCTGAACCTACATCGTGTTCAAAGGAGCTGTCCATGCAAGTGAAACAGGCCATTGTAAGGCTTCAAAAAAAACATTAGGAATGGCTAAATCAACAGTTTGGTAGATTCTGAGGAAAGAAGAACGCACTGGTGAGCACAGCAACATAAAAAGGCATGGATGTCTTCGGAAGACAACAGTGGTGGATGATCGCAGGATCCTCTCTGTGGTAAATTCACAACATCACAACAACCAAACAAGTGAAGGACACTCTGCAGGAGGTGGACGTATTATTGTCAAAGTCTACAATCAAGAGAAGACTTCATGAGAGCAAATACAGAGGGTTCACCACAAGCTGCAAACCATTCATAAGCCTGAAGAATTTAAAAGCCAGATTAGGCATTGCCAAAAAACATCTAAAAAAGCCAGACCAGTTCTGGAAAAGCATTATTTGGATGGATGAAACTAAGATTAATCTATACCAGAATGACAGGAAGAAAAAAAGTGTGGAGAAGGCTTGGAACAGCTCATGATCCAAAGCACACAAAGTCATCTGTAAAACATGGCGGAGGCAGTGTGATAACATGAGCATGTATGCCTTCCAGTGGCACTGGGTCATTGGTGTATATTGATGATGTGACAGAAGACAGAAGCAGCCGGGTGAATTCTGCAGTGTTTAGAGAGATACTGTCAGCCCAGATTCAGCCAAATGCAGCGAAGTTGATTGGACAGTGCTTCACAGTACAGATGGACAATGATCCAAATGCAAAAGCATCCCAGGAGCTTTGAAGGAAAAGAAGTGGAATATTTTGCAATGGCCAAGTCAATCACCTGATCTCAACCCAATTGAGCATGCATTTCACTTGCTGAAGGCAAAACTAAAGGCAGAAAGACCCACAAACAAAGAACTGAAGACAGCTGCAGAGCCTGGCAAAGCATCAGAAAGGAGGAAACCCAGTCTTTGGTAATGTCCATGGGTTCCAGACTTCAGGCAGTCATTGTCCGTAAAGGATTGTCAACAAAATTATAAAAATTAACATTTTATTTATGATTATATGAATTTGTCCAATTACATTTGAACCCCTGAAAATGGAGAGACTGTATAAAAGTGGTTTTAGTTCCTAAAATTTGTACTTGATATTTATGTTCAACCCCTCGAATTAAAGCTGAAAGTCTGCACTTCAAATTCATTTGGATTTTTTCATTTTAATTTATTCTGCTGGCATACAGAGCCAAAAGTATGAAAATTGTGCCTGTGTCCAAAATATATATGGACTTAACTGTAGCATTAGCAAATTAGGCTTTGGCAAACAAACTGTATCAGGCTCAGCTGTCATTCAGCAAGTCAGAAAATTGCATTATATACAACATACATGCACAACGCAGTGGCGCTTGATTGAAATTAGAGGCAGGGCTTAACAAAGCCCTTCAAAAATTCACACCCCGGGCCTGCTCTATCATTCAGAGGTACTGCCGAAAACATTCAAAGTCTGTTCAGTTGAAGGGTTTCTATCCCAAAAATGACTGTAATATGTTAACAGTATGTAGTTAATACATATAATGATATCAATGTAACGATGATGTTGCAGACTGCATTTATAGTTCAATGCTTAGTGGAAGAGGTAAATGAGATCTATTTTTCCAATTTAGGGTTAGCAGTGGAAAGGGTGTATCCAGTGTAATTGTGGAGAAACAGAAAGATGACGGTGATGATGATGATAATGAATTTGTGGTGGAAGAAGCTTCTCTTCAGCTGCTGTTGGATATGCCTGCAATGGAGATGGTAAGAAATGGGGCTGCTTGTAGACATGGTAATGCAGCATATTAGTTACATTTATTAACTAATGCCTTCTCTTTCCAGGAGTCAGAGCTAGACCTCCCTGTGGATGAAAAGCACGGTAAGAGTGATGCCCTTAAAGTGGTTGTAAACCTGAAAAATAAACTAAACTGTTTACCTGGTACAGTTAAGCATCAGAAACCATTTGTCCCCAGTCTTGCAAAGAAAAGTGAATCCAGCATTGTTAAATCCTCTCCACTTTCTTGCAGGGTTAAAGAGTGACACATGACAAAAATGGTGTCACCCCCCCCCCCCCTCTCCTGTTGCAGACTACATAATTCTCTCTCATGCACAAGTGTGAGAGAAGGGGCCGTATGTCCAGCATTCCAGCATCAGATCGCTGCCCTCCTCTGGCTCACCTATGATTGACTGCTCCGCACCTCAGCATTATTGGCCATGCTGAAGTCAGGTGATGCCTTCCACGAGTTCCGAATGGTTGGTACTCATGAGAGGGCGTGGCCAGCCACCAGGGTTTACACAGTCAGGCTGGAGGGAGTGTAGAGATGGGAGGGAGAGTCCAGTGAGGTCACACAGGTTGTGTGAACTTTCTCAACTCCTTTGGTAAATAAGCTTCATTATATATTTGACATTGTAGCAACATTCGTATGATTGAGAACAGGTTGAGGATAGGCTGTGTTTGGTGGCCTTCATTCTAATTCTAAATAAGTATATTGTGTGTGGCAAAATATTATTCGTTGTCACAATTTCTTTTTTACTCTAGTCTCTCTCTCCCCTTTCTCCCCCCCCCCCCCTCCTGCCTTCCCCCCCTCCCCCTCCTGCCTTCCCCCCCCCTCTCAGACCCTCCTGCCTTCCCCCCCCCCCCTCCCTCCTGCCTTCCCCCCCCCCCCCTCCCTGCCTTCCCCCCCCCCCCCTCGCCCTCCCCCCTCCTGCCTTCCCCCGGCCCCCCTCCCCCTCCTCCTGCCTTCCCCCCCTCCTGCCTTCCCCCCCCCCTTCCCCTCTCTCTTCCCCCTCTCCCCTCCTGCCTTCCCCCCCCCTTCCCCTCTCTCCCCCTCTCCCCCCCTCCCCTCTCTCCCCCCCTTCCCCTCTTTCTCTCCCCCCTCTCTTCTTCTCCTCCCTCTCTCATCTTCTCCTCCCCCTTCTCTCTCTCTCCCTCTCTCTCCCCTTCTCTTCCCCCCCTCTCTCTCCCCCCTCTCCCTCTCCCTCTCTCTCTCCTATCCCCCCCTCTCTCTCCCCCTCTCTCTCCTATCTCTCCCCCCTCTCCTCTCTCTCATCCTATCTCTCCTCTCTCTCCTAGCCCCCCCTCTCTCTCTCCTATCTCTCCCCCCTCTCTCTCCCTTCCTATCTCTCCCCCCTCTCTCCTTCCTATCTCTCCCCCTCTCTCTCCCCTCCTCTCCCCCCCCTCTCTCTCTCCTCCTCCTCCCCTCTCCCCTCTCTCTCCTATCTCTCCCCCTCTCTTCTATCTCTCCCCCTCCCCCTCTCTCTCTCTCTCTCTTCCCCCCTCTCTTCTTATCCTCCCCCTTCTCTCTCTCCCGCCCTCCTCTCTCTCCCCTCTCTCCCCTTTCCCTCCTCCCCTCCCTCCTCTCCCCTCCCCCTCTCTTTCTCCCCCTCTCTCACTCACCCCCCCCCCTCTCTTTCTCTCTCTCCTATCTCTCTCCCCCCCCCCCTCTCCCCCCCCTTTCCCTCCCCCTCTCTTCCTCCCCCTTTCCCCCCTCTCTCACTTTTGCAGCAGTTTTCCTATTCCAGGTCACAATCCAGCACAATGTCTTTTTGTCTCTATTAGTCCGTTGACATAGTGACCACGATTATGCTTATCAGGCGACGGTGTCCCGGAAACTGTATATGCTGTCATAACCTTTGATACTGTACCTCGTGACACGAAAAATAAATCTGAAGCTTCAGTCACAGAGGCACCAGCTAAGCGAGCACTAACAATTTGCCCTCCTTGAAGCTCAGTAAGCTCTGACATGACTCTGTATGACAAGCCGCTCATGCAGTGCATGACTAAAGTGAGGCTTCCCACCTATCAGCTAGGTGTCTCATCACACAGCTGAGAAGCAAAAGATCAGTGTGAAACATGTCACTTTCACACCTGCAAATAATGTAGTGTTTGCAAATTTTTGACCTACCTCTGTAAGTATAACATGTTTGTTATTTTTTTCTAAAAAAAAAAAAAAAAAATGCCTTTAATATCACTTTAATCAGACCAAGTATGGGTTATGCTGTAATTTTTGTGACCACTAGGGGGAGGTGGTTACCTCCTTCTTTTACTAAATTTTTATTTTCTCAAAATGCAGACAGGGCAGTAATGCTGATTTCGGATTAGGATTAAATACAGCATATTTCATTTTGTTTCAAATATACAGCACTAGCTTTCCTGTTGTTACAGGTAGTCTTGTTAAGAAAATCTTAGAGACCAAAAAGGACTATGAGACACAACCTGATGCAGCCAGTAAGGTAAGATCCACATCATTTTGGCACACAATCAGTATATTTCCCATTATATCCATTAAATCTGGAACAATTGTTTTTTTCTTTCTTCCTTAACACTTTCCTTTTTAATATGATTTTAAATTTTTTTTTTTTTTGCTATATAAATGGAAAAAGATCGAAAATGTTGAAAAAAATTAACATTTTCTATTAAAATCAATTTTGTTTTCAGAAATTTAGGCCAAAATGTATTCCGCTACATATCTATGGTAAACAAAAAATCCCATTAAAATTCCAGGACAGTGCAAATGACACCTTCTTGGAAAGTAGACAGTCTGAGGTATTTAGTAAGAGGCATGGCCAGTTTTTTGAAGATGTAATCTTTTGTCACTTTTTTTTTTTTTTTTTTTTTTTTTTGGAAAAATTAAATAAAAAAAAAAAAAAAAAAATTTTTCACATTTTTTTTTTTGTACACCTTGTCACCAGTGCAGTATAGCGTTATCATATGGCTGGTGTGGCGGTGATCAGGGATGCTGACTGGTGACAGTATGTTAAAAAAAAAATAGTTTTTATCCAATTTTTTTGTTTTACTCTTTCTTTTCTTAACTTTTTTTTACATACTCACATATTTATTTACATTTTTTTACATACTTTCCTTAGTGACACTGTACTACTTCTTTGGGGTTGTGATCAGGGTCTTTTTTTTCCACTTTGATTGCTGTTACAGTGATCTGAGCAATGTTTTGAACTGTCATGAATGGGTTACATTCATAACATCTGATTATTATTGTGTGCTGTGATTGGCCCAGAGCTATCTCATGGTACAAGGTGCTGTGATTGGCCCAAGTACCATGTGATAGCTCTGGGCCAATCAGAGATGTTATAAAATGCATTCATAACCGCTTTGTTGACATTGTGATCATGTGATTGCATAACGACCACATGATCCTCTGGCTGATCAAAGTGGCCCGGTACTGGAAGCTGCAATCCAGATGACACACCAGTTGCAGGAGCGGCCTGCTACTAGCCCTTGGCTGGATGATGGGACATGTATGTGATCCAGCCTGCCCATGCCACCTGCTTGCAGTAAATGTACTGTGGGCAGGTGGAAACTGGTTAAATACAAGAAGACAAAAGAATACAAAAAGTTACCCCATTCTCTCCTGCACACTCTACCTATAAAGGGCAAAAAGGGGTCGTCATTAAATCTGAAGGTCTGTAGAAAGAACATTATCGTGTATTTTATAAAAAAAATATGCGTAGCTATCCTTCCAACAAAGCTGCATTAAATTAATTCCATGTGAAAGGGGCAGAAATCAAATGTTTTGAGGATTTATTCTTGGAAATATCTCTCCAATAAAACGTTTACAGTAAACATTTCCTAAATATTGATTTTCAAAATTACAAGTAGAAGTGTACCTTTTATCAACTGGCAAATGGCTGCAGTTTTTTCAGTTAAATTCTTAGGCTCCATGTACACTGGCTTAAGAAAATGCCAGTGCTCTTGGCAGAAAACAATGCTAATTTTGAGGGTTTTTTGTACTAGCATTTAGGAGCTTTTAGTGTTTTTTTTTTCTGCCAAAGAAACGTTCTCAGAAACGCAAAACAGAAGTACCTAGAGCTTCAAAAATGCCTCCAGACTACTTAATGTGCATGAACACAAAGGATAACATTAGCTACTTCTACAGGCAAAACATGATGAAGGAAGGTATCTATCAATTTCTCTGGGCAATTCATTAGAGGGTAAGTGACACAGCATCAGTGGTGTCTCCAGCATCTGGCACCCAGGGCACGTGCTCCGCATCTCCGACACCGCGACCCCCTGCCCTGCCTTTTTGCTGAACCCGACATCACTCTGTGCCCAGCTGCCTGTCGGAGAACCAAGGAAAGCTTCCCCAATGCTCCTCCTTGGCACTGAAGAATCACATGATACACAGGAGGAAAAGACTGAGTGGAACTAGGTCATCCATGCCACTCTGTATCTGAGGTCTGTATTTTAAGGAGGGGTGGATTGTATTGGGGGCAGGATGACCTGCAGAGGGGGATTGTACTGGTAGACATACTGACCTGGTGGGGGTGATTGTACTGGGAAACAGACTGACCTGGGGGGACGATGATTATACTGAGGGACAGACTGACCTGGGGGAATTTACTGGTGGACGACCTGGGTTGATTGTACTGGGGAAAAGACTGACCTGCCAGGAGGTAGGGTGAGGGGGGATTTGTACAGGGAGGGGGGGATTGTACGGTGGGACAGACTGATCTTGGTGATGGGGGGGGAATGCTACTTGGGGTCAGATTGACCTGGAAGGAGGATTGTACTTGGGGAGGATCTGTGTTAGGAGAGTGAAGTTGGATGGGGGGTGGGATTTGTACTAATAGGGAGGGATTTGGGGTGATTTGTGCTGGAAGGTCAAATTTGAGGGGGGAAAATTAGTACTGGGAGAGGGGATGGGGGAGTGAGAGGATTTGTGTGTTAGGGGGGCTTGTGCTGGCAGCATTGGTAATGAAGGTGGAATTGGGTGGGGTGGGAGTTTGTGCTGGGGAGATGGAATTTGGGTGGCAAGCAGGATTTGTGCTAGAAGGGTGAAGTTATATATAGCGATATATGCTATGTGCATGGGAGGGGGCTGGCACAGGGATTTAGGCAGGTGAGAGGATTTGTTTTGTGGGAGGGGAGGATTTGTGCAAAGAGGGGAAATTTAGTGGGAATATTTGTGCTGGGAAGTTAAATTATGGGAAGAGAGAGGATTAAGTCCTTGGAGAAGGGATTTGGGAGGTGGTGGGATTTGTGCAGAGAGGGGGGATTCGGGGGGAGAGGATTAGTGCGTGGGGGGGGGGAATTTTGGAGGAGAAGAGGATTTTTCGTGAGGGGAAGGATTTGTTGATGGGGTGGAATTTGTGCTGTGGAAGGGGGAGGGGGTGAAAGGACATGTTGGAAAAATGTTCATTGATCAGCAGTTGCAGCCACTGATCAGTGTATTCAGACAGTTCCAGGGGGAGGGATTCCTCCATAACTTAATCTGTGAAGATGGAGAAATCTGCCCACTAGCTGAACAAGAAAAAACTATTAGTATATGGCGAGCTTAACAGACTTCTGCAATATATACACTACATTGTACATTCCGGACTCTGGCACCATGTACACCCTATTGTACTTTAGACTCCTGCACTATATACACTGTACTGTACATTACAGACCCCTGCAATATGTATGTATACTATATTGTACATTACAGACTCCTGTGCTATTACAATATATTTAACCATACAGACGCCTCAATTATCCATACTTTATTGTGCATTACAGACAACAGCAATATGTATGTACACTATTTTGTACATTACAGACTTCTGCACTATATACACTATATTGTACATTAGACTCCTGTGCTATAAACACTATATTGTACAGTACTGACTCCTGCACTATATGTACTATATTGTAAATTATATACTCAGCTATGTACGCTATATCATACATTACAGACTCCTGCATTATATACACTATATCGGGGTAGGCAACCTTAAAGAGGTGGAGATCTACCTGAATCACATGGGAGAAGTCAAAGATCACCGGGATCAGTTTCGCCTTCTCAAACCTGATTTATACCTCTAATTGCTATATTACCGTGTCACAATCACGTGCATTGCACGGCAATCATGGGTTTAAATCAGGTGTCAAGGAGGCAACATATCACCTCCTCACCACCTATCAAACACACTCGGATCGCTTTGCAGAGGAGCAGCAGTGCCTGCTGCACTTGTGCATGAGCCCATAGCTACATCCAGCAATGGCACTCTTAGGGCTCGTTCACATGTTAAAGTTGGTGGGTGGTAAAACCCCGTGGTTGAGTCATGGTTTTACTGCCCCCAATCCCTACCCTCTTTAGCTGCTGCGACAGTAGCCAAAGGTGTAATTATGACGCAGCAGAAATTACATCCCCTGTTGCTTTTGGTGGGTGCTACCCCGCCTGTCAATCGAGACCAATTCAAATAAATGGGATCACTTTGCCCATAACTGCATGCTTCTGTGGGGTCCAAGGGGTTAAAGCAGGTGGTGAGAAAGAAACAGATCGCTGCCTGTTTAACCTCTTGTTTGCTGTACTGCACAAGGTTGCAGGGCACTCGCAGAGTGGCCTCATTCACTTGAATGGGTTATGCTTGGCAGGTAGACATTGGCTTATGTGGCTTTTGCTCCCCTACTACAGCTCCAACTTTACAAATAGTCCCTCTGCATTGCACTATGTTCGATGCTCTGGGAAGCCCTGACTCTGATCTACCAGTTACCTGGCCGTGATCTACTGGTTGCTGACCCCCGCACTATATTGTACATTACAGGCTCCTGCACTATGTACACTATAGTGCACCTGCCCCAAACCCCACCCCTGCCCCAACCACACCCCCTTAAAGCTTATGAAATTACATTTTTCTTTAGAATAAATAGTCCAAAATATAAAACTGTACACAGTAATGTATATCCCAGCTCCCTGTACTCCATTATAGTGATATGACATGTATACAGTAATGTATATCCCAGCTCCCCTGTACTCCATTATAGTGATATGACATGTATACAGTAATGTATATCCCAGCCTCCCTGTACCCCATTATAGTGATATGACATGTATACAGTAATGTATATCCCAGCTCCCCTGTACTCCATTATAGTGGTATGACATGTACACAGTAAATGTATTATCCCAGCTCTCCCTGTACTCCATTATAGTGATAATGACATGTATACAAGTAATCATTACTGTATACATGTTCATATCACTATAATGGAGTACAGGGGAGCTGGGATATACAGTCATGGCCGAAATTTGTTGGCACCCTTGATATTTTTCCTGAAAATCAAGTATTTCACACAAAAAAGGTATTGCATTAACACATGTTTTTGCTATACACATGTTTATTCCCTTTGTATGTATTGGAACAAATATAAAACAGAGGCAGAAAAGCAAATATGACATAATGGTCACACAAAACCCCAAAAATGGGCTGGACAAAAGTATTGGCACCCT